TAATCGTCGTATATATCTGTTTCAGGGATCATCATACTAGCCTCAAACCTAATGTTTGAGGCTAGTATGACATCCAAATAGTTGTTATTGTTTGGATATTCTACCATCTCCTTCTGTCCTCTGGAAATCAGAAGCACTTTCAGTTCAAGGCTCAGCTGGCAAAGTGAGAGGTGGAGCGAGAAAGGTTTTTACCCAGTAATTTCTGCCTCCTCACACATGCACATCCAAGCAGGGAGACACCTACACTATCTCTTTCAAGCCTGATTCTGTCAACAATTCATTTTTTTCCATTTTTGCCGTCACTGACATGTTATTAACAATCTCATCAATTGGGCTTTCTGCACTTACTGTGAATCCACTAAGGTGGAAAAAAAGAGCATAAAAGCAAACTAAACGGATAATAAGCTCTGCTTGTTTCACTCTATATATCAGTATCGACCATCTGTGACTCTGGACTAAATGGGGAATGAAAACGTCCTCAGGTTTGCATTTGTATGCAGATAATGTGCTTTTTACCCAAACTAAACATCATTCTGCTGGATGGATTATATTTTAGCATTGTAACGACAGGTCATAACAACCTGAAGGGGTTTGACAGCGCACTTTTCACACCTCAGACGGCTGCTATTACTTTCCCTGAAAGTTATATCGGGGAACTCGTTAATCTTTTCACAACAGCTTGCCATTAAAAATAAAACAGGGAAAATGTGACTTTTGTTAAAAACCCTTAGGGTTTATTCTTAAGATGCTTTTAGAGAGAATTTACCATCTCTTTCTTGAAATGAATGAAGACAAAGACCATTAGATGAAGTGCAAAATCACCCTTCAATATTTGTCTGATTGGTATATTGTCAGCAGATAATAAATAAATTCAACTTTATTGATCTCACAATGGAGAAATTAACTCTGTGTATTTAACCCATCACCTTGGGGAGCAGTAGGCTTTCATTGTGTGGTGCCCTGGGAGCAGTGGGAGGTTAAGTGTCTTGCTCAGAGACCCAGAGTGGCAGTCTGTGGGAGTGGGGCTTGAACTCAAAACCCAAGGGTTCCAACCTCTATGCCCTAACCACTAGGCAGCCACTCCCTATGACACTATATTCCAGGTTTCTAGGCTTCCCTATCGTTTTACAGATAATACATAATAAAATGACCCACTATTTAGGAGTTTCTTAGGGGTCTCAAGTATACATAAATATGTAACAAAGGTCCTTATTACATCCATATGTAAAAGCTCTGGGTCTTTGCTGCTAAAACTAATAAAAAAACAACACATTTATGCATAGATATTAAAAACAATGTGCTTCCCTGATTAGTGTCCTTTGGAAATGCTCTCTGTAAAAAAATAATAATTTTGACAATATAAACAGGCATATCCCTTTTGCCCCTGTTGTTTTGTAATTATTTGACTCACTTTCAATTAAAGCAATTAAAGTACCCATGTGCTGCCATTGACCAGTTTAATGCAACCACAAAATAAACTTTTAAAAGAACTGCTTTTTGTTCTTTAATGTATTCTATAGTTAGATTCTGAAGAGTCTCTGAGGTTAATACTAACCTGCTGCATAAGGTTTGCATGCAGGAATCTGTTGTTAGAAGCTGAAGTTATGATCCATAGCTTCTGAATTATTCACTTGTTTAACTGTGGAATTTGTAGCCCATTAATGAGAAAGTAGCTTCAGAGTATTTTTCTTTTTCAGCATAAAGCAGCTGTGAGTTAATATTTCAACTGCATTGTGGGTTTGATCAACTTAGATCCCACAGAAAGAGAACAAAAAAAAAAACAAAAACAAAAAAAAAGCACATGCAATTAATATCAAGTGCACAAAGGTGTGCACATCACCCTATTTAAGTTAGGATTTTGAGTGGTCTACAAGCTGTCACCATGGAGAGTTTGGGAGAGCGGAGGGGATTTCCAAATTCCAAAAACAGCTGTAATTTGCAACAGCACTTCTCACAGATGGCAGGTTTGATTGGAATGAGGAGAGGATGCAGGCAGAAGGGAATGGCGAGGACCCTCTCAGACTGTGTAAAAAACAACAACAATTACGTGACATCGAGGCAGAAACATGGTGGAGAAGCTTCTGGAATCTGGATCATTCCATCTATTAAAATTGATCCAAAGTTTCATGTGTCAGTCAGAAATTTCCATCGCATCAACTTTCTAGACGCCCCGAATGCTGAAAATCATTTTTTTTTCATGAATAGAGAAAATCAGTTCTTTTTTAAAGACAATATTACAGTCAGTGTGTAGTTGCATGTCAGCCATGTTTCCAATGGCGATGAACTTCCAGCCTGCTCCTGACAGTGAATGGGTTTGAGAAGATCCTGAAAGTACTTCTCTAAATACATTTTTTTCTCGATAACGAGAGAAAGAATATTAACTTGTGTCATCTCCATGACTGACAATACCTTATGTGATGTTGCTAGCATGTTTCTTAAATTTGCTTATGATTGGCTAATAAGGCCCTGCTTACTCCTTTACCCCAAAGCAGTCTGCTTTTGTGACATGCATCAAGAAAGTTAAACCAAAACCAGATATTTTCTGTACGAGGCAACTATCATCAACTGACAATATGTTTTGTTTGCATTACACTGCTAGTTTTATTACCTTTGTTGAATTTTGGTGTAAAGTTGCTGCAAAAGTTGTCTTTTTTTCTTTTCTCCAGTTCAAACAAGCACACCAGAAAACCTTGTTTCTAATGTAAAGCAAGGAGCTTTGTACAGAAATACAGGGAGTACAGAAACTGGAGGCCTCAGACAACAGCTTCCTGTTTTATTGATTAAAAGTTAATCACTTAAAGGTATAGAGGACAATCTTTTATTTCCGGGTGGATCATCTAAATAAGTGGTCCTCCTAAATGTCAATCATTCTGGTGATATGTTTACGTAAGGCCGTGCTACGTGCTCGTCCCGTTAGCTATATTTTCTGCACAAGTGAACTTTCAGGAGTATATGTGCTTTTAAAATGGCCGAGGGTCATAACAGAAAATGTGTCTACGAAATGTATAGGAAAAGAAAGGCCTCAGAAGAGGCAGATATATCCCAGAATGCTTTGCACTGTGAGGTCTCATTGGGCGTTTCTCAATATGCGTTCTTGAGCGTTCTCGTGTGCTCGTGTACTCGTGGCACGTCATCAGCCTCAGCCCGAGTACCCTTCCAATTCTCAAGAACGCCAGATCGAGAACGCATAAAATCCCCGGATGTTGTTCTCACCCCGCCCTCTTTATCGAGCATGCATCAGAACGCATGAACGCCAGATCGAGAACGCATAAAATCCCCGGATGTTGTTCTCACCCCGCCCTCTTTATCGAGCATGCATCAGAACGCATGAACGCCAGATCGAGAACGCATAAAATCCCCGGATGTTGTTCTCACCCCGCCCTCTTTATCGAGCATGCATCAGAGCAGACTTGTGCGTTCTTCAGACTGACCGCTTCCCCAGAATGCCCCGCGGCCGCAGCTTGATTCGAGACAGCGCTCACAGTGTTAAGTTAAACATTCCCTTTTCTGCTGCTGTTGTTCTTCAAAAGTACGTTTTGAAATCGTTTGAGGCGATAACATTATACATTTAAGCCTCCCTGTGTGGTCTGTTTACAGAGTTAGTGCGAAATTTAAAAAAAAAGTCCAACATTGAGCGGACCAGAGTGACCAGCAGACCTCCGAGGGTAACCGCAGCCAGGGCTAAATTTACCCCGTCTGTAGTGCACTTCTCTCGGTCTAGTTATGTGTGAACTACCGCTCGTTCTGATGGCGGTTTTTTGCGGTTCGGTAATTTTTTTAAATGTTTTTTAAGCTTTAGAAATTAAAAATATTGTTTTCAAAATGTTTTGTGTAGGGAATAAATAGTTTTGACTGTTAAAGAAATGCTAAACAACGTTGCATGTGATGACGTCACGAGTACACTTCTGCTCCAATACACATACGTGCTTGCGTGCTCGCGTTCTCGTCAAGTCCGATCTTCCTGCGTTCTCGCCAAGAACGGACTTGACGAGAATGCGAGTACGTACTCGCGTTCTCGTGAATTGAGAAACGCCCATTGTGGGATTTGCTGTCACAGTGGCCCACTGTTGCCATAGGCTGTTGCTACCCGACAGAGGCGACTAATAAGAAAGATGGGGCAGGCACTGCGCGGTGGAAGAGGAGTTACGTGACCAGCGGGGAGCAAAAAGCTGTGATCATCTGTCTGAATGGTAAGTTAACTGAGTTCACTATAAAATCCACTATATATTCCCCAATATATAGTGACTGAGGGATTTAGGGGTTAGAACGGACGTTCAGGCACAGCAAGCTTGTATGAGCTATGAGAACAGCAACTTTAAAACAGGACGTGCATGAGGAGAAATGGGCTTGTGCATGCTCTCGCACGCGTTTAATAGGCGTGCCCTTTCCGGAGTGGGTACAGGGTTGTGGATGTTAATTTTTTTTTAAAGTAGAGAGGGTGGGTCTTTTAAGAAAAAAACATTACAATCCTCCACAATGCCTTTAATGAAAGATTAAGCATTAAGATAAAAATCCCCAAATTAGACAGCATCTTTAGATATCCTTTTTAAGAGTAATCTGAATAACCCAGGCACATATATGCAATCAGCTTCTCGAAACACGATGACTGAAATGGACTTTTGAGACATGAGGCAAAATAAAAAAAGTTTATTGTATCCATTAATATCTAAATTCTGTCTTTATTCCTGCTGATTGACTTGTAAGCATTTAAAAATGATGAATAACTCTCATTAGGGAATATTCTTGCTGTTCTAATTTGTTTATAAAAATTCTTTAATTGTGTTGACAGAGGTTTGATAGATTTTTTTAGAGGTTGATGGACATAATCTGCCTAGTTTTGTGGATTAAAATAGTTTACAGTAGCTTAGCAACACTACAACTATATTTGGTATAAAAATTAGCAGTCCTTCTCGTTTCCCAAATATCTGAGCAGATTTTATGTGGTGAACATTATTAGACACACACCCAGGAGCTTTATTAAAGCTATTTTCTCTCATTTCTACACTGCACAGTTACAGCTGTGAAACAGACTTGGATCGAGTCATAAAACAACAACACTGCTGAGGATTGCAGATGAGTGGAAGTTGCATTTAGGTGTGAAGAAGCTCAGAAACGGGGCTCTAGGCAGGCATTTTTATTTATCACCATGGAAACTGGGTTCATCATCAGGGAGCATTCCAGAACTCCGGTTCGGTTGAAAGACTTCGGCAAACTGTCACAGAGTCATCTTCCTGAGAGGAAAGCGGACTGAGATGGAGGGTCACTATCAGTGTCAGTTAGCCCACACTCGCCTCAAACTCTTCTCTGCATCTTTTAAAAATCTGCCCCCTTATCTGTCCACGCTGGTCTCTGCCAGCCGGTTGTTCATGATGCCCAGGGCGCCCACCCCTCCCGAGAAGCCGTTCTGATGCGAGCAGGAGCCGGACTGCCGAGGATGTCCAACAGCCATCTCTGAGAGCTGCTTCTGCATGATGGCCAAGTTGACCTGCAGGAAGAGAAAGGAGTCAGAGCATGAGAAGAAAGTTTGCCACCTATATCTAGAGGCAGCGTATCATCCATCCTGTTAAACCTGCAAAGGTAGATGAAATTAAAGTGTCGGCAGCTAGAACATCTTGTTCTCACAGGAGAGATATAACACAAGCAGAAAATATCTTTACATTGCTAAGGTGGGATGATATAACTAGAAAAGGAGAGAAGTACTGACAAGTGTGACTGAAGGAAATCAGATGATTTCCTCCAGCAAAGCAACTTTTTTGTGACATTTCTCAGTTTCTGAAGCCTTGCATTGAAAAGATCAATGCTGCTGTTTCTTTTTTGCAATAATGATAACAGTAGCAAGCAGGATTTCCACAGTGGGAATATTTTTAATTTGTATTCAACCTGATATTTATTTATTTTTTTGTTATGGTTAAAATATATCCCAGAGAGCTGTGTGACATTTGCTGCAGATGCTCAGGCTCTGCTTGAAATTTCCATATAAAAGGTGACTATATTTGGGCTTTTTCTTCTTTAGTTGAAAAAGTGAGTCTACTCCTTGATTAATGGTATAGTGGAGGGTGTTCTTTTTCTGGGTGGATCATCTAAATAAGTGGTCCTCCTAATTGTCAATCATTCTGGTGATATGTTTACGTAAGGCCGTCCTACGTGCTCGTCCACGTTTTCACTTAATGGTGGTGAGTCTGATGTAGTGGAAAAATTGCAAATCTTCTTTTGGAAAGTAAGCTTCTTTGCAAACAGCAACTTTTAAACAGAGCGTGTGTGAGGAGAAATGGGCTTGTGCATGCTCTCTCACGCATTTAATAGGCGTTCCCTCTTTGCAGCAGGTACGGTGTTGCATGTGCATTTTTTTTTTAACTGGAGAGGGCGGGTCTTTTACAACATTTGCAAAAATTCTCCACTATATATTTAAGATAGTTTTATATGCACGGAAGTGTTAAAGAATAAATACTCCTTAAATTTGTTTTCACATAATGTCTCATTAAAAGGACAAACTCTACGAGCATTTGTGGTGATAGTATGTTAAAGGCAAACACAAACTAGAGAACAATTGTGCAGTAGTAGAAAAACAGTGAATTATTTTCCTTTTTATTTATTTATTTTCTTTTTATACATTTTTTTTTAAATCAAAAAAATGTGAAGGGGCTGCACAGTGACACGTTTTTTTGGGTTTTTTTTTTAGCACTGTTGCCTTGCATCATTGAGGTTTGAGTTCAATTCCTGACTCTAGGTCTTTCCTCATATATTTTGCCTGTTTTCGTACATTCGTGAGTTTTTCTCCAGATTCTCTGGCTTCCTCCCACAGTCCAAAAAACACGACTGTTAGGTTAATCAGCTTCTCCAAATTTTCTTCAGGTGTGGAAACACAGCTTAGGGAGAAAGCTGTGGAAAAGTTTGAAACAAGGTACATTGGAAACTAAATAGGAATTCAATCATTTTGGGCTTGGAGGAGAGATCATTAATTAGAAAAGCTTCGATAGGGCCATTGTAACACTGGAGGAGTTGCAAATATACGCTAATACTTTTTGATGACACAAAACTGCCCTTTAGTAGCAAAAATAAAATTCAGACTTGAATGAAAACCATGACTCCTGTCTGCATTTTGAAACAGCAACACAAAGAGGAAGGTGTTCTGGTGCCTTTGGTAGAAAAAAGTACGCAACTTTTATACACAAAGGCTTAGACTTTATATATTTACTTTGGAGTGACAGTTACATTTATGGGAGTAAGTAATACATCAATAATGAATAACTTAATGGTAATGTTTTATACATAGAAGAGCTCATACTATATTGTTATGTGTATCTGTGTGTATGTTATACATGTATACAAGTTGTATTGTGTGTTTGTGTACTTCTGTTTTTGGCTTCATTGTTACACAGCTTTGATGTAATATCTGTTAAAAAATGTTAAGACCCCCATAGCTACTGCTATTCTATAAATAAATAAACTATAATCTATAAATAAAAAATAAACTATAAATAAAATAAATAAACAAATAAACATGGAAATAAGGAGATATTTCGTCAGCGCACAAAACCATTAGATGTGCAAAACCTTGCATAGACATATAACTGTGCACCTATCTTAAATACATCCTAATTTAGCACAGCTGCAGGCTCCCCTTGGACAGCCCTTTCGCCTCCAAATAAATATGTAACCTGTTAGAGTTCTTGTTCTGCTATGTTTTTCTTTTGGATGTTCAGGTTTGCTTTGCTCCTTGTTTTCTAGTTTTTTATGGTTTAATTCTTAGTTTATTGTGTTCTTTGGTTTTTTCTCAGTTACTGTCTAAGTCTTGGTTCTGTTATGTTTTCTTTTGAGTGTTCAGTTTTGCTTTACTCCTTGTTTTCTGGTTTTAGTGGTTTTATTTTTATTTTGCTGTGTTTTCTGGTTAATTCTTAGTTACTGTTTCAGTCTTGGCTCTATTATGTTTTTCTTTTTTCAGTTTTACTTTGCTCCATGTTTTATAGTCTTAGTGGTCTAATTCTTACTTTGTTGTGTTTCTGGTTATTTTCAGTTTTCTAGGTTTTTATTTGTTGCCCTCTGCTGCCCTGTTGTGTTCTTTTTTTTCCCTAGCTCCTTTTATGTTCTGTTCTGCTCTGTGCACACCTGTTCCCAAGCTGCTCGTTAGTCCTCTCTTTGTCTCAGCCTCCTTAAATACTCTCTCTGTTCTGTTCTTCTTTGCTGGGTCCTCGTCAAACTTCCTCCAACTCCGTTTCTCTGAGCCTTCCTCCTTGTTATTTTGATCCCCCTGATGTCTCAATGTTTTCTGGTAAGTTTTGACTAGTTTTCATGTTTTGATTTTTTGGACTCCTGGTTTCATGTTAGTTTGGACTCTGTTTTCGTTTTTGGATTACCTGCCTCCGTTTTCAGTATTCTCTTTATTAAATCCTCAAGAAATTCACCTCTGCCCTCTGCTTTTGGGTCAACAAACCATAACCAAATCATGGCACAACCTGGAAGGTATTTTGTACTACTTTACTTTTTTAACTATTGCATCTATCTATTGCAAGGGTATTAAAAAAAAAAAAAAAAAACTGCAGCAGTACAATTTCTGCGCACTGGACATACTGAGTTATTGAAGTTAACATGTCTTGGCTGATTAAGGGTAAATTGCCTAAAGTAGCACCCGGGACATAGGATCTAAAATGTGGCTGTTCAATTTCAATGTGCTGATATAGCTCAGGAATGACCAAATCACCTAACCTGTTATTCCACTCCATTTGAAATGCTGCTGCAGCAAAGGAAGCTCTAAATGGTAAAAACTTTGAAAGAATGTAAGCAAAAGCAACGCATGATTCCTTCTGTAACACTGAGATTAGCTCTGTTTAGAGAGCTTCAAAATAATTTCCCTGGATAATCTAAAGCTAATAAGTCACACATCACCATGTCCAGGCAAGGTAGTACAGTTAAAATAAATATGGTTCTATTTCATCCTTCAAGTTTAAACCACAGAAGCTCAAACTAATAAAAAAAACTCAGGATTACTTTCTTTCATTTTTTTTTTTTTTTTTTTTTGGTTGGCTATTGATGATTCAAAGGTTTGCATTGTTACCTCACTTTTTCCTGCTACATTCATCTTCTACACATCTAGAGTTGTGTGTAAAACATTGCTTGGACATGAAGCCCCTGTATGACTTAATTTAGTTTAAAATTAAACCTTCTTTTCAAAATGAAAAACACCACATATAGAGCTGAACTAAGACTGCTTATAACACTGAACAAACCCTTCACACCGGAAAACATGACTGCGTTATACTGTTTGAATCCTGGAAAAGAATTGAAATATACTTTAAGGGTAGTGATGTGACTACATGTGTAAAAGATCTCTTTGCAAGGCTTACGAGCAGATAATGGAAAAGGTGATGACAGATGTGAACTGGCTGTTATAAGAACCTAAAACACTGAAGAAAACTTGCTTTTTAAATGGATGCGTTCAGAGAACAGTAACATTAAATAAAAATGATCTGGACAAGCCCAAGTCTGACCCCTCCAGATTCAATGCACATGCATCTTTTACATAAGAAAGAATAATATATTTAATTTGCTTTAATGCATATGTCAAATATAATCACACTGAAACCTTAAGAGTCTCTTATCTCCATTAAGTATAGAGGATCTTCTTGTATTTCTACACTGATGGACTAACAGTACCGCCTCTCAATATAATGCAGGAGACTGGGGTCAAAGAGACACCTAAGTTGACTTTATAAAACCAAACACCACTACTCTGGATAATTATTCCTCCATTATGACTGCATAGGAAAGATTTGTATTACCTAAGCATACATATAAAAAATGCAGCCACATTTCATGTTATTAGACACAATAAAGAAACAATTTAAATAGTCAAAGGATCCCTTAAAATATTTATGCAGATATGACCTGTTTTTTTGTTTTATATTCTTTTAAAATAGCCAAATGGAAACACTGTTACATCCCAAAGATGGATACAAGTTTTTTTTTTTTCACCTAAGTAAATTGTTTTAGGCTCCGCCTCTAAGATATAAGAGCTAGTTTATTCTTTTATCTTATAAAATGAAGTCTTCATGCCAGAGTAACGTTAACATTAAAACATATTATAAGCTAGAAATCTGCACCAGATGGAAAGCAATTTTTTTTTTATTGTTTTCTTATACAGTCTGATATTGATCCTGTCCTGCTGTTAAATGAATTAACCTTAGAGCTAAAAAATTACAACATCAGGTGTGACATAAACATTGTTGGAAAAAAAAAAAAGGTATCATGCTAACACAAATTGAAATCACCACTAGCTGTTGTGTGTGCTCTGCATGATTTAACCTGCGTTATCATAGAACTGAACTGACTAGATATCTTATAGATATATAAGTGTTTTGCCAGGTAGGATATCAATAGAAAAAAAGGACTGGAATGAATCATTTATACAATATCTACTCCAACTAATTAGTCAACATTGGGGCTGGAATCCGATTCGGGTATGATATTGGTACGTCTCAAGGTATTTCATTCAGAGAAGAGCACAAACAATAATTTTATATGCAAGGAGTGTTAGGGAGGACACTCAAATTGTATATGAATCAAAGTGGGACTTAGGATAAACAGGTATATATATATATATATATATATATATATATATATATATATATATATATAT